GCCTCCAATGCTTCCTCACTAGTCAACAAAGTATCTAGCACTGGTGCCAAAAAACTTGTTTTATCTTGTCCTTTAATCTATGACTTAGAAACACTGCCTGGGCTTCGTCCCAATTAGCCCACTGCGTTAATTTCCACAGCTTTTTATTAATTAATGTATCTTTATCTTTATATGTTCTCTCAAGCCAGAAATGTGTGAGAATTCCCTGCGTTTCTATTAATAGATCACAATTCATGAAACGACTACAATCGATACTCTAACTCCAGTAAGATTGACACTCGTAACGTCCGTCACCGTAACTGTCAACTGTTTGTATGTAATCCCACTCTTATACTTCACCTCAAATACCTTGATCATTTATCCTCTCCTCTTTCTGCCAAACAAAAGTATTTTTATTGCTTTAAATGACAGCGCTGGTACATATTCTTATGTTGCTGGTATTAAACGCGTTTCATCAGTTCTTACAGGCCTTCTCTCAGTCACTTTGTTACCTCGTCTCATAATTATAATAACTCATCACAATTTGCTCAAAAACCATGTAATGGTTACTTAAACATCTACATAAAGTATAATTCTACATTCCAATCTCCTCATACCTTGGTAATTAATTAAACAGTAACCTTTAATTTTTATCCCCCTTTGCACTCGTGGCCACACATCAAGACAAAATCACACAGACATACACAACATTTATCTCTCAGCACTTTTCTCTCTCTAGCATGCTTTTTCTCTGGCACACTTTTTCTCTGTTTCTCTCTGGCGCGCTTTCTTTTTTCTCTGTACACGTTTTTTTGTCAACCAGCGGCTCGCTCCAATCACTATATTATTTTCACACACAACATAAAACTACTTGATTTGTCCACTCTGTCTTTTCTAACTGTTTCTCCTTTTTATAATTTTTCTTTTTTCTTTTACATTTTCCTCCCTTCTCATACAGCACACTACCCTTATCACTCTATTATCTCTTCAACACAGTTACAAACCTGTCTTTAAAGTATTTTAGTTTAATATAAGCGATCACATAACCCAGTAAGCAAAGCCTGGTCACACATAAATAGCAGAACTTTTATAACAGGTGTCTGCTTACCTTTTTCTCTCGAGCGCTCGCTGTGGACCGGCTTTGTCACAGAATCACGTGGTGGCTCACAATGGCAATCTTAGCAATCTGGTGCTGATAAAGATTTTTCAGGTTCGTCACTCGTCCCCGTAACAGGGCCACCAATTTATGTCGGGACTAAGTGCAATTCCCTCTGGCCCAAAGCCCCAACATATGAAAAAATTATACTAATCTGTTCCATAACTATATTTCCGTTCTTCAATTAATCTAATTGCTGGTTCTCATCATAAACGCAAAATAAAAGAAAGTTCAGTCAAAAATAAAAGAAAGTTGAATAAAAGACTTCAGCTGTAGAGTTCTTTGTGAAGGAAGGAAAAGGCTCACTCTTCATTTATTGAGCTTCAGGTGGCAAGATGGCTCCTGGACAGCCAAATGCAAAGTACATTACAGAAACATTATTTTTTATACCCTGTTTGGGGGCGATGAAGCAATCGCCCCCTCCCTCTCACCTTTTCTCATTTCACTTTGGCTCCCATTGTTTCCCATCCTTACACTTCAGCTGGAAACCCTTATTTTCAACTGCACCTGTCCTTGTTTTTCTTAAAAACTTGCATGCTCAGCTATCCTAAGCTGCCCTCATCTTCTCAAGGTTTTTAATTAAATTTTATCTTTTTAAACTGGTTCCAACACTGATACAGTTTAGTTTCCTATCAGCTTTACCTCCCCTCTCACAGGCCAGCTTGTTCTTGCAACAAAGCACACTAGTTTCTAGAAGCTTCTGAACTTCAGTGACTCTCCATTGCAAAATCCCCTGACCTTCACAAAGCATGGCCTTTCCTTAGTGAGAGGATTAATACACTTTTGTTAATCAACTTTTTAGCTTATAATTATGGATTTCTTATTGATTATAATGGTAATATATTCATTACAGTACCACAATACTCTGAATATTAATCACTGAAAAAGTTCAGAAACCAAGCAGTGTAATTTGTAGGTGGATCCTCAGGTCAGCTGCCGTCCACAGAAATCAGCATCCTATGAGTTTTAAAAGTCACTGATTTCTTACAAAGTCTAAGTGGAAACACTGTTTTCGTAAAAAACAATGATAAATTACACACACTGACGTTTCTGCACCCAACATTCAAAAACTAAGAGAAATAATAAATAATAATAAATACTAAAACGAAACCAACTTTACTGTTTAGGAGACTTAATTTCAATTAACATTTCAGCCTCAGAGGCTTCATTTAACGCTTGTAAAAGTCAGATAGTCAGATAGTCAGTGGAACATTGAGTGGCATGTTTATGATTGAAAGTGATAAATTTGTACATACTGGTTTGCATATCTGTGATTTTAATGTCATTTTAATATAATGTACCTGTGATCTGATCACTGTCTTTTTATACTGTAAAGCTTGAGAATGAGAGTCTTATATCAACACAAACACACAAGCAGCAGCTCATTCTGGCTATTTTTGGCTTAAGATGTGGTGGGAGGGGAGGGGAGAGTCACAACATCAGATTCCAGAGATCTGATAACAAGTCAGTACTTGTGAGTTGTTTTGTGTGCAACATTAGACTTTGGCAGTATAACAGTAATAATGTGTCCCATAGTTTTTTTTAAATTATGATAGTATTTCAAAATGACGATGGTATTTCAAAATTATGACAAGTGTACGTATATAAAATGGTGTTATGTACCAATTTATCTGGGCCAGTAGTATCTAATGTCTCTTTTTTCTAATGATGTTTCTCCTATGGAATTTTAGAAGAGGCACCTTTATTCCTCCTGAGCCATCCTGACCCCCAGATTATTCTGACTGCATTTTTGTGACACTTGACTGGTCCACTGTATTACAGAATTATTAATAATTAAACTGCGTTAACAGTCTAATTTTGTACTTGAACCCTTTGAACGTTCTACTTGTCATTATTATTAGTAGTAGCAGTAGTTGTAGTGTGATATTTAATTGTGTGATGATAAAACTAGACTGGTAACTGCAGCTGCTGGGCTAAAATATAAATTTGCCAGTACTGAAAATCCCAGCCTAAGTACAAGTACTGTTACTGTACTGATAATTTACTCAAATACAAGTAAAAGTATTAGTAGATAAAATTACTCAAGTAAGAATAAATAAGTAGTTTATTGAAAAACTACTTGATTACTGACTTACTTTTTCGTATTTCTGCTGTCACAACCTGAACATATTTCTGAGTTGACTCGGCTACATTTACACACCTGTCTGTGTAAGGAACAAGGAACATTAAACTGCATGTGTTTCATGGTTAGATGATTATATAAGACATCCTAGTTTATCTGTTTCCAATAAAGTATTTTAGAGTCCCAGAAAGACGTGCAGAGAATATTACTGTTTAATTAAGTTCATTTAAAAGAAATAAACTGATTAATAGATTGCTCAATTAATATTGTAATTTTAGTGAGACCTGCTGCCCATCAGCTCCCTGGACTCTATCTTACTTTAATAGGTGTGAACCTACAGAGTAAACACATTCACAGCCTTCAAACTGTATATTTTCACTGAAATCGGTTCAGAACATTTACACCATTAAAATCAGCAGCAACGTCAGCAACTTACACAGCTTGGATTTTTTACTGTAATATATTTCACTAATAATCATGCTGATCACTTCATACAGAATCAGACATTATTACTGCATTAGACAGTTAACCAGCTAAACAGCCTCTCTATCTCTGTAGGTGAGATAGAGGAGTATTTTTTAGCCTCTGCATTTTTAAGTTAGTGAAAGTCCAGACGTGATAACTGTACCGGTTTTTACTGTCAGACTGAATGATGATCTGAATATTACAGCTCAACACTGTTTAAACTCTGTCTGAGTGATGCTCTAATGTTGCTGAGGGCTCGTGATTAATGTGAGGTGAGCTCTGATTCATACTTCATACTTCATACTCCACCTGGAGTCTGATCATGCCAGGCCAGTCAGGTTAAACAATGACAGCTCGACAGAATCACCGTCCAGAGTTTATGAAGAACCAGTATTAGACTAGATTTCTTCTATCACAGCCGAACACAACCGTTTATCTCCAAAAACAGCTACTAAACTAGGCTGTATAAACAGTAAACTGTAGGCTGTGGGTGACACCTGTTAACTAAAGCAGCAGACAGACACTGTAATAAAATATACACATCAGATTTTAAGTTTAATAAAAAGAATCATTATAAAAGAAAGAAGAAACCCGTAAACACGGTACCTGTTCAGCTCGGGTCAGCTAGCTCGGCTAACGCTGCCTCAGGCTGGAGTCGAGCAGTGAGAGCGGATCTCGGCCGGTTTCGTGTTCGGCCGCTGATAATAACGCCGTTTTCTTTAGTTCATGTTAAATGAACACAGATGACCGTTTGGATGCAGTCTGTTCCTTGTGTGCTGGTTCAGTTCTTCTCTGTCCTTCTCCACTAAACTGGACATCTCTGTAGTGTTTTTCCTGCTGTTTTTTTGGTTGGTGATTTTTTTAAAATTAACTACGTTTTGCTCTTATTGGTTTATGCGCTGATGCGCTCATTTATTTTTACTCTGTAATGTTATTAAAAATTAAAGTAATGAAGTAAAAGTATTTCATTAAAAATTAACTGAAGTAAGAGTAAAAGTACTACGATTTAATTCTACTCAAAAAATTACAGTTACAGGGAAAACTGTACTCAAGTACAGCAACGAGAGTAAATGTAATTTCTTAGTTACACCTCTGTAATTCTCCACCCAGTACATAAAGTTTAGTATGTAAATAAATCCAGTGCAATAGACACTTGTGTGACAAATGCAGTGTAGCTGATGTTGATCCATCAAAACTCTGCTTGCCCAGTCTTGTTAAGATTGGATATCAGATACACTCTAATGTGACGGAATGTGCTCCGACTGGTTTTCTCTTTCTGAGGGACAGGTTACAGCGAGTTTATTATTCAGTCTAAACTCCAGTAGAGGAGCTGAGTGTGTGTTCAGGAGTGTGATATAATAAACTGGTCGACTGTGAGAAACTACAGATCATATTATCATATAGGAGCTGATGAGTGTCTCTGCTGTAGGACTGGAGATCCTGATAAAGACAGAGCTGAACTTTTCTACCTGAAGACTCTGAAAGACACTGACCTCAGAATCAGGTAACTCTGCTCTCGGCTTTAAAGACTCTGAACACTGACCTCAGAATCAGGTAACTCTGCTCTCAGCTTTAAAGACTCTGAACACTGACCTCAGAATCAGGTAACTCTGCTCTCGGCTTTAAAGACTCTGAACTCTGACCTCAGAATCAGGTAACTCTGCTCTCAGCTTTTAATGGATATTATTACTGATTTATTACTATTTGTTTTTGAGGGGTGGCACGGTGACGCGGTGGGTAGTGTTGTCGCCTCACAGCAAAAAGGGCCTGGGTTCGATTCCAGGCCGGGCGGCCAGGGTCCTTTTTGTGTGGAGCTTGCCTGTTCTCCCCGTGTCTGCGTGGGTTTCCTCCAGGTACTCCGGTTTCCTCCCACAGTCCAAAAACATGCAGTCAGGCCAATTGGACATGTTAAAATTGTCCCTAGGTGTGAGTGTGTGTATGAGTGAATGTGTATTTTGTCTGTCTGCCCTGCGATGGACTGGCGACCCGCCCAGGGTGTATCCTGTATGTATGTTTGTTTTTGACTTTCAGTGTGAAACAGACTCACAAACTGAACTGAGGTTAGAGAGTTGAAGTTTTCAGTTCAGTGAGTTGTGGTTATTTGCCAATGTCTACATAAGAAGATGAACAATTCTGGTGTTTTCCTGTTCTGATTATTACTTTCTGTTGGAGTGTTTTATTTATGTAATGTTTCACAGTATGTTTCTTTGCATTGTGTATATTTTTTCTTTAGCCTGCAGATCTGCATTCTGTATTTATTCAAGGTTGTTTTCATTTTGCACTCTGTTAAATATATTTATCTGTTTATGACTGTCTCTGTACAGCCTCACAGCACTGACTGGAGATGGAGGCAGCAAAAAAATCTTTAAATTCTGATAATCAGTGTTTAGTGAAACTGTTTACAGAGGAAGAAATAAATCTACTTAACTTTGAATGGAAGTTAACAGAATAGCATTTCCAAGTAATTCTGTAGACTTTCTATTCACCAATTCATTATGAAATTTTAAAAGATTCTAGAAGATTGATTATTGATTGATCACAGGTCTTGGGGAAATTTTATACAGTGCTGTCACTGTATTATGCCCAGTCAAATAATTACACTCTCCGCCAAGCTCCGCCTTCTTCTTCTAAGCCCTCCATTCAGTGCCCAGCAACGTTTGCTATCCACCATTGTCTCAAGCCTTCCATTTGTTCAGCATGCCAGTGTTTGAATTTGAAGCTCCAGTTGGGTAAACTGGGGATGTTTAAACGTGAGATTCCATCCTAACGATTTGTACTTGTCCAAAGCTAAAAGAAATAATTAGTTTTATGTGAATTTTATGATTATAACATTATATTACTACAAAGGCTAACATGGGCTTTTTGAAAATGTGAAAGTAAACATCTAACGTTACTTCAGTGCATTAAGGTAAGACATGAATGGATCATAAGTATTTTTCATTCCTGCTGTGGCAGTACGCTTTAGCCTACAGTGATTAAGTTTAGGGTTTAACGTTTACTGTGTTGTTTTGTCTGATTTTATCTCAGTAATGTCGTCTTCATTGGGCTAACATGGCTGTGGTGAGCGGACGCATGATTTATAGTGAAGGGTGCTGCAGTGTTGATTGTGTTTATATGGATCCTGTGTTCTGGTTAATTGCTATTGTTTTGTATTACCATAGAGCAGTAATGTTGGATTAGGTAGGGTGACGACTGCATGGGTGGAACAGGCTGTAGGCTGATGAGACATTAGCTTATTTGGAGATTGCATTTACTATGTTGGCCTACCCAAAAATTGATGTCTGCCTATGGCACTGGATCAAACAATAGGCTATAACTTGTCATAGACCTCAGTTCTTTTGTGCTGCACAACAGATTGGGTGCTTCACAGCTAGAAAACATACAAGATCAGGATATGTTCAGATATTTATATTCAAACTTACTGTACTTCTATGGTTTTAACAAAATGAAAGTTTTTCCAACATCAAGTTTGATTAATTTAGTTCATCACGTTTGGTATCAGCTAACAAACTCTTCTCAAACTCGCTGTTCTTGAGCCAAAAGGTATGAGTGAGGGGGACACCGGCCTACTGCTCAGCTTCTTATTCTGAGTTTTCAGTCCACCTTAAATGGTGTCACACATAACATCTGAAAAAGAACTAGACAATAAGAAACTAGCTTCATGTTTTGGATGCTGTGTGCAAACAGACAGACAGGGCCCACGAGCTGGTTAAAGTGCCTCTCATCATATGTCAGAGATATTCTGATAGTGGTCTGTTTGTAATTATCTACAACCCCATTTGTAGTTGGGATGCTGTGCAAAATGTAAATAAAAACAAAATGCAATGATGTTCAAATAATTTAAACCCTATATTTAATTAAAATAGTACAAAGACAACATATCAAATGTAGAAACTGAGAAATTGCATTGTTTTTTGATAAATATATGCCTATTTTGAATTTGATGCCAACAACATGTTCCAAAAAAATTGGGACGGGGCAACAAAAGGCGGGTAAATTTGTGTAATGCTATAAAAACACCTGGTGGTTGATTGACAACTGTGGCACTGGATTAAAAACATACATGAGTCTGCAGTGGAAACCACACATCACCACTTATCTAACAACTGACCACACAGCACTGCAGATCAAACTACTGACCACACAGCACCACTTATCTGACTACTGACCACACAGCACCGCTGATAGAACTACTGACCACACAGCACTGCAGATCAAACTACTGACCACACAGCACTGCAGATCAAACTACTGACCACACAGCACTGCAGATCAAACTACTCACCACACAGCACTGCAGATCAAACTACTGACCACACAGCATTGCTGATCAAACTACTCACCACACAGCACTGCAGATCAAACTACTGACCACGCAGCACTGCTGATCAAACTACTGACCACACAGCACTACTGATCAAACTACTCACCACACAGCAGTACTGATCAAACTACTAACCACACAGCACTGCAGATCAAACTACTGACCACGCAGCACTGCTGATCAAATTGGAAAATATTCTTTCATCAGTTAAACTTTCTGCTGCAGCTGCTTCACATCAGGCCGTCTCTGTGTCTTTGTACAACACACCAGCGATTCTGTAATCTTCTGTTTTATAGAGAAAGAAGAGCTTTTATATGTAGCATGAATGTTATAGACTCTGTTTATATTAAGCTAGCTATACTGGCTAGAAGCTACTGCTAACCAAACCTGCCCGGCTAACATGAAGCAGCTTTTTCAGATGTTTTTTCAGCTAGGAGTCGCGTTTTTGACTGAGCAGTGAAAGGTGGATGTTTTCTGAAGTGCTGCTTCAAAAATCGCCATGAAACTATAAGAATAATGCTGTTTGGCAGATCGCTAACATAGCTAGCATTAGAGCTAACTTAGCTTTAAAGTCTGCTGCTCATTCGAAGCTGGAGCTCAAACTGCTAATGGCAGGCTAGCTAATTAGCGACTGTAGCCTGCTAGCCTACCGTAAGCTAATACCATTTAAACGAGGTCTGTAAAATAGACTTTACATATAAAAGTTTTTGTTTGTGTTTATGTCAGAAGTCTCTGCATCCTGTAGCTAAATGTGTCACAGAACCTGCTCCACGTTAGCCGGCTGGTGGCAGCAGCCGATGAAAGCTAACTAGCTTCCTTATTTTGGGAAACAGATACAGTTAGAAATGGCTTCTAGCATTGCTAGCTAGCTGCAGCTAAACAACGTCTACCAAATTCATACTACACAGAAGAACTTTAATTTCTTTTGAAAACAGAAATATTACAGAATCGCTGGCATGTTGTACAACTACAGAGACACTGCTTGATGTGAGCAGCTGCAGCAGTAAGCAGGGCTGCACCACACACAGCATTTTAGCTGTGTTTACAGTTAAATCAGTGCTTCCATTCACTTCCTTTTGTCATGATAGTGCACGGAAAATAACATATGTCTGTTGTAGCTCAGTATTTGAGCATTATAGTTCACTGCTAATGCTTAATCCGGACGTAATCGCGACTCTTTGTGAAAAGGGCCCACGGCCATTAGATCTTTACATTCATTTACATGCAGATGTTTCAGTAGCCAGCCAATGAAATGGCAGTGTTCGGCATGAAAGCTAATGGCCGTGCTCGTGGGTGGAGTTTGATGTCCAGCAGTGAGTGCACTCCTCCCCTGCTGACCAAACTTAATAGTATTAAAATGAAAACAACTGGAAAAATAAAATGTGAAATAAAACAAAATACTCTGTGTTGTTAACATAGTAGAGTGATTGTTTAATGTAATTAATTCCCTAAAATAAACACTGTATTATTGCAGTGTATGACCGAAGCTGTGTTTGTGAGTCAGTAGTATGAAACAAAAGCACAGTGTAATGTGTCTTTAAATGGAACATGAAATAGTTGCAGCACTTGTTTATATCAATGTGCATGTAAAGTAAGTACATCCACTTTTGTACTGGACTGTCATGCACACAAATTAGTATTATTGATATTTTCTATTGTTGTTCTTATTTTTGCTGTTACAGATTATGTTGATAATAGTTTTGGTTAATTAGCCACATATCCAGCATTTATGCCCAAATTTACATGCACTCCTACCAGATATGAGTACAGATATGCCAAGATGAACGTGATGAATAACAAAACTGTCAGTGAACTTGTGCGCTCATCTTACGGTCAGATGTGACCATAAGGATCTTTAATGAACCAAAGTGAGAAAAGTGAATCAACTGAATATATGGAGGTGATTGAAAGTTAATTAACAGATAATTAGCGGGATTAACACATAAGTGCTAGTAAGTTATCATGTTACTTCTTTATATGAAGAAAAATGCTTATTAGTTATTTAACAATGTAATAAGCAGCAGTTAGTACACAGATAATGAGTAAGTAAGACATAAACTAACGACAAACTAACTTATGACCTAACAGTGTACTTAATTACTAACTGATAAGTGCTTAATCAATTACTAAGTAATAGCTAATGCTTAAACAAGAGTTAACTAATAACTAAATAATGGGAAACTAATAGTTGATTATTGTATATTTAATGATTGATTAGCGACCCTTAATGTAAAGTGTTACCCATTATTTAGACCAAACTGGGTCTTTGATTAGAGCAAAATGTACCACAGAATTGGGTTTTAGTCCCAGTTTAAAACACTGTTTTACTG